CGCACATGCATCAACGAGCAGGGGGAGCATTTAAATTCCATTATTTTTAAAACTGATTAAGCTATATTTAATAAAATTGAATGAGCTTTAACATGAATAAAAAAAAAATGAATTCCATACACTGAAAAAAAAAATATTATTTGAGTTTCTTAATGTAGCAAAATTCATCAGTCACCCTGCACATATGCATGCTCCTTATGATACTCCCAACAACAGCATTGTGATATTTTCATGCTTMAATTTTTGCTTTCGCAATGTATACTCATACGTATATTCATGTGCGCGTTCAGAAAATCAAATCATTATTTTATCACTTATACATTTTACATGTGCGCGCATTAATCTGCTTGTTCATACATTCATATATACTTATATGTACATACATAGATTTGTATACACTTCTACACATTCTAAAATATTTTTCCGTGACTCGCAAAAATCTGCGTCGATATGTATGCAAGCTCATACATATGCATACATATTTACGCTAGTTTGTTGGCGAAGCTGTTACAGCGGCAAGGGAAGCGGTCAATACGCGGCCATTCCTTTATTTTTTTCGGCACAGCTTGGATTTTCTATCATCACACAAGTACTGAACCAATGAGTGCGACAGATATTAGAAAACACACTAAATGGTACTGAACGTGTGTATTTTAATATTTGACAGATGTCGCTTGCAGTCTGTCGTGCGCAATGTATTCAGCACTTGAAATAATATATTATATGAACATATGCATGTGTCACAGAAATTCAATTGGTACAAATATGTAAGGTCATCAACTTTCTTCTTCACTTTTTAATAGTCTTTAATAGTTTATTTAAAAATTAAAAAATTAAATTAAAGAAAAATAAAATTGAAATAACGTTTCCTAATTTTTCCCGATTTTGTAAAAATAATTAAAATTTTTACCATTTTCAAGAAAACAATGGATCGTATAATACAAAATCACGCATATGTGACTCAGAGAATGCTTTGTATATTTTTCTTCAAAGCATTTCTCTCTATTTATTCTGGCATGAGTTCAGTCGTTTTACATACATATATTTTTGCCACTGCACGTGCTCAATTCTGCTAAATAGCAGCGACAACGGCGAATTCCTTCCTTTGATTCTATCGGCTCTGTTAGAAGCCAAATCGAACATCATACAGAATTCAATTTGCACCTTCTTTATACTTTATATCAGGGATAATGGGATGTCCAACTTATTCCAGTTTGAGAGCGCCTCAAAATAAGCGTTTTTTATAACAGATCGCACCAAATAAGAATTTTTGGACATTTTAAATTAAAATACCCAACATTTATTACGATTGCAAATTATTATATTATTATAGTATATTGGACTTTTAATATATGGCGAAACTACTTAAATCCTTTTTATGATTTTATGGTATGTTAAAATAACTGACTTTCGATATTTCAATACTTAATAAGGTGAACTAAGCTTGTTAGTTCTCAATTAATAAATGTTTTTAATCATTTGCAAATTACAAAACGTTTGATGATATATATTTAAGTTTCGCATTTTCTTTGATTTTTATTGTTTTACATTTTTATTAGCGATCTTGAACGGCGGCAATAAATTCCTCTGTTCACATATATTTTTGGTATAATTTCAATCCGGCCGTTCCAATCATTCCAATTGCAAAATGTCAAAAACTACTTAATCCAGTCAACTGTCAAAGTTCGGTAGGTAAGTTGGGGATCTCATTATCTCTGCTTTACATTCTCTGGTCTAACGTCGTTTCAGTTCGGCAGTCTTCGACACGGCATTGTGTGCGTGTGATTAGACGTATTGTACGACTCTACCAGTGTTGCCAACCTCAAAAAACTAAAAAACCACAACTCGCCTAAAAGAAAACAGTAGAAAGCGGTAGGTAAAGAAAAAAAGGCAGATTTCATAATTTGGCTCATATAATTAAATAATAAACAACTTTCTTAGTTACTAGAACTCACATCAATTGATATATTTATAATCACAGCAACATAAAACAAAAATCAAAGTAAAATTATTTTTCAGTTTCATTTTCAATTGCCTCATCTTCAATAATTTCACACTTATTTTTATTTTTAAAATCATACGTGTTTTTGTTGAATTTCTTCACGTGCTTTTCTGTGGCTTCGAATGAATAGCAWTCAGTTATTTCGGATTTAGTGTGTAATACTCATATTCTATGACTACATGTAGTCGATATTCTGTTTCGTAATTTGGTTTTCATAATATTTATAGCAGAAAATAACCTTTCCACGGCGGCGCTGCTATGTGGTAGGCACAAAAGCTTCCTTACCAATTCGCACAATGTAGGGAATGTTTGAGATTCGTCTCCATTTCTTAACTCTTGTACATGTTTCCAAAAGTCGATAATATCGGGAGTTTTGTTTTGGTCGAAAAAAAAAATCGACATTAACATCGCCATTCTCTAGCCAGTTCTGTTATATTATTTGGACAAATCCTTGGGAAGAAATAATGTAAATCTGCAATGGAAGGGAATTTCTTTTTTATTTCAGAATCCAGAATTGCTTTAGGATTTAGCACCTTCAGACATTTTAATGCTTGACGGTCTTTGTCGTCAAAAGGAAACCTTTTTAAAATCTGTTTTGCAGGCTCGATATAAAACTCCTTACACTTTAAGTAGAAAATATTCAGCTGTTCTTCCTCTAGTTCTCCTAATTCTCTCTTTCTTCTGATCAAATTTGGCACCATTCCACCAACGTATATATGTTGCATYGGTAAATGTTTCTGCTCACTCGAGAAGTCAAGGTTTAATATTTCAGTTTCTTTTGCGTGTAAAATATTTTGTGCTTCATTTTTTTCTCGTTCAGTGAGATTCAAATATTCAGCTTGCACAAAGCATTCCAAGATCGTTGTGTATGCGGTCAGTATTTTGTCGTATAGTAAATATAATTTCGGAGTCTCGGCTTGCATTTCTTTACTGAGATCGGTAAATATAGATAATGCAAATTTCAAAAACTCCAGGTACAATTCAGTTGTCGGTTTGAGAGCCTTGGAGAGAATTGATTGCGCAGAAAGTAATCTATCTACATGAACTGCAGCTTGAAAATAAAATTTTATAGCTAGTAATTGTTCCAGAAGCCTATTTACTACCTCAATAAGCGACAACCGTCTGGTTTGGATAGAGTGAAGTAATTTGTGTGGTTTAATATTTGTGAATGCTTGAAATATTTTGAAATCTATAATACGTTTTGGTAAAGTTTTTACATGATTATATACGTCTCTACAGAAATCTTCCACGCAAAAAGGTGAGGTATGTCACTTTTAAACAAAGTGACCAATGAATGTTTATCTCCAAACATAACGTTAGCGCCATCAGAAGCAAAGCCTATCATATTTGATTTGTAAAGAATATTTTTTTCAACAAAATATTCTACTATTTTGCCATACAACGCTGTTGCTGTACCACCTACATTGGTATTAAAGTCAGAAATCTATCTTCAACGCTGAAATCTAATTTTACTATTCTAGCGACAAGCGCTAAATGTTTTATCGTAGATTTATCTGTGCTTTCGTCAACAAGTAATGCAAAGAAATTGTTCTGTAACATCTCTATTATATTTTCTTCAGCTGTCTGCCCAGTTACATTAACAATAATAGCTCTAGCTTTTGTGCGGCTTATAGATAATTGTTCGGCAATTTTCGAATCTGGACATATAGCGCAAATCAATTTATTCAAATGAGATGCTATGTTAAAAGACAGATTATGCTCAGCAATAAAGCAGGCCATTTTTACTTCACCCGCTTTAGCTGCAATTTTTGTATCTTGTGAGTTGGAAGCTGAGGTAAACATTGATGTCAGTTTTTGTTGTTTTTGTAACTTCAAACTATTCTTCGCGTGTTTGGTTGAATCTTTGTGTCGTAGCAGTTCGTGTATACCACATTTTCGCAATTACACGCAGAACAAAGGAAATAAGTCTCACTTTTAGTGCTTTTCTTTAACCAGCCTTTGAACCTATCATCTTTTAACCACGAATTTACGAATTTCTGTTCATATTTCGCATTTTTCTTCTTAGGAGGACTTTTTCCAGTCGATAAATTACTACTCATTTTATCAAAAACTTGTAAGGTGTTGTGACTTGTGACTATAAAATAATACCTACGCAATCCAATAGGCGTGTAGGCCACACGGTCGGTGTAGCTGTTATTCATAAATAGCGATTTCCCCGTGCATAAAAATATAAAGAAGACACTGCCATCTAGTGTCAATGCGTTTTATTACGTAGTGGTTTTTCATTGCGTTTTATTGCGTAGTGGTTATCAAAAAATGTTTGMATAGTAGTGTATTAGGTGGCGCTGAAAGCGAAAAACAGTAGAAAGTAGGAATGAAACAGAAAACATGGTCATCAATGTGAAAACAGCAAATCTACTGTTAAAACAGTAGGGTTGGTAACGCTGGACTTTCCGAAATTCGCACGAATCGAGACGAGCTGCTCCGGAATCGGACGAATGCATAAGCAGCTGTTTATGAGAAAGTATATAAGTGTATAGGCATTTATGTACAACAGTGAATAGCTGTACTTGTAAAATTTGTGTATAAAGTGTTGTGAATATGAATTAACAAAGTGCATTTATTATTACCGAAGAAAGTCACGAAAAAATAGTGAAAGAAAATGAGTGAGTACTCTATATACATACATTTTATTATTATCACAAATGCAGTGTTAATTTTGAATTGAAAATATAATACTGCTATAAAGATAACCTAACTTTTATTTATTTAATAATAGAAAAATTTGTTTTCTTATCGGTCACCACGCTCAAAAAGTGTAACTTGAATTAATATCAAAGAAAAAGAAATACTGCTTGAATAAAATAAATAAATAATTATAAAAAAAATTATACAAAATGCTATCCAATAGCTTTACCGCGGCAGTCCCCGAGTGCCACACGTCTTTTTTTCTTTTCTTTAATAGATAGAGAGATTGAAGAGAAAGGTGGAGAATTACTGTTAATTTTGAGGTTTCTAATGTTATGTCGTTAATAATTACATTTTTCCGCTCACAGGTACACATGAAAAGATCTACAGAAACTCCGCGATGGTACATATRTGTCTATCTCTTATGAATATCCCACAATAACATTTTTTTGTCATTTACTTTTTACGCCAAATAATGGCTAATTTTCAAAGCGATTTTAACCAATACAGCATTAATACTTATTCAGTTAAGGGGGTATTCTACTCTAGAAATCAAATTTTGGCAGTTTTTCGAATTTTATTTAAAAAATCCAAAAATATTTTTACTATCCATTTTTTTATGGTGTTTTTGTTTATATCTTAAGAATACAGAAAAAAATTTTACAAAAAAATATTAAAAATTAAAATAATTAGAGGGGGGGAGTGACAGGTGTAAAAAAAAATGGCGCATACTGCTGACATTGATCCTGATTCTCCTGGTGGTCCGGCAAAAAATCAAAAGWAATTCTTAATCAGTAAGGATGCTGTTATAGTCCCTATTTCAGGGATAACGAAAAAAAATTTTTTGAAAAAACGGCGACTGCCTGAAAATAAAAATAATTTTTTACTTTTTTTTTAATTTCCTGAATTTTTTTAAAATATTAAAAACAAAGGATTAAGGATTATATGAAGATAAAGGATAAAGGATTATATAAAGAAGATTCACACAAAATTTTAAGTGAATCGGTTGTATAGAACTTGAGATAATGCCGGTACCGTGTGGAAAAAAATAGTTTCGAGAAAAACKCGTTAAAAAAGTGAGTAAAATTTCAGGCAGTCTGAGTCATTTATTAGTGCGCTCTTAAAATAATTTTAATTTTTAAAAGTCCTTTGGAGGATATGTTCTTAAGGGTCTAAACTTTAAATATATGAAAAATATTCTAGAGTAGAATACCCCCTTAAATACCTTAAATACACTGTTGGTTTGATATAGATCTGTATAACCTTTTACTGCATATGATATAATCAATATATTTTAGAAGATAATACAGATTTAAACACTGCGAGACTTAGTGTTTGCGGCGGTACAGGGCGGCCAAAGTGGCGGTTCTCCCTATAAGCGATCAAGTACGTTCATTATCGCAGATTTATAACGAGGAATATTTAAACGGAAACGATGAAGTATATGCGTACAATTTCAAACTGATCTTTCCTCAAAAATAATACATTTGCTAAGTATTTGGAATAGTAGAATAGAACTGCCACCAAATACACATTGCAATGAATTATAACTGGTTCAGTAATAAGTCGATGAATGTCAGCCGACTTCTTCGTCTTTTCACGCTTGAGAACCGATTTATCATGAGCAGACCACTAGAATGACTATTGATTGGACTCCAGTGTGAAATCAAGGAGCCATGTTTCTATTGTCACACCCCGACGCAAAAATTCGGATTTATTACGATTAAAGAGCACTCAAACACTACTCAGAATCGGCAATTCGTTGTTTTTGTTATATTATGAACTTTCGAGGCACCCACTTTGCCCATAGGTTTCGCATCTTCAGGGCGTCATTTCCTCAATGCTTATTTCGCTTCTTTCCAAACCTTTTTAAAGTGGTTGATTTCCCTGATACAGGGCCTAAATTCAACAGATTTTCCTCGAAAAATCAATGCTTTATTAACACGCGAAATGCTTTATGATCCATTTTTTTTGTAAACTTACACAAGTTGCTTCACAAAAATGCTATATCTCATTAAGTAATAGTTATAATCTAACGCGGCTATAGCCACGTAAGCGGTTTCTACGCCAGTAAAGAAGAAAAATGATTATTATATTTAATTACCTTCCAATCCATCACAAATCAAGCACTTAAGGCGGGTGGCAGCGCAGAATTTATACCAACTACAATAGTTTGGCCATTTTAATCGAAGAAACTAAAATAATGAAAAATGAAGTGACAGAAATAAATATAACAAATTCTTTACCAATAAAAGGTTAATCCGTCGACGTATTCGCCGCTTATGCACATTAGATTCTGCAGTCATTCGCATTACTTCGCGAACCGTCTTTCTCTTTCGGAGCAAGCTATTGTATAAATATAATATACGTTGCTTCTCACGTTTATGATAGAAGTAACTGCAAATAATTCGTCTCATACGCATAAAGTAGTAGCATTTATATATAAGTACAATTATTATGACATTTGTTGCAGCTAACTTCAAATAAAATCTGCGAAATAGGAAAAATTTAAAACATCGTTTCACAATTATTTTAACTTTATTGACCTTTTCGGCAATATGTGGGCATTTGGTAAGCAATACTCATTAGTAAGAAAGGTGGAAATTTGTTCGTGAATATTAAAATTTTTCAGAGTTCTTTGAAGTAATCTTGCCATGAGCCCCGAGCCTTTGACCTTCAATGAAGAAATGTAAAAGTTAAGTTAATATAATTCAAAACCGTCTTTCAAAAGTATATAAATTAGCTCAATAACAATAAAGACTTTTACTAGCTGTAATAATGCATATGTACATATTTATTATACTTGCACGATACTAGAGATTTGACTGAGTAACAATTTTGTTACACTGTTCACAAAATAAAATTTCCATAATGATTTCATATATATCTACTTAACTAGATCTGATACCAATCTGAGTGTACTTCTTTTTTAAAAACATTCGAAGAAGCATCAGCCGATTAAAAGCGCACTTTGAAAACTTGCAAGACCATATAAAAATTTAATTAAATTCATTGTGAATATCTATTTATAAATTACGTAAAAATACGTTTTGTAAACGGAAAGATAATTCAGGATATTTAATATTGGAACGAAGGAATAGGGTGAAATTTAATAATGACAACGTCTACTCTCTATACAAGGGTAAATTCAAAACTACTATGAGTGTGATAAATATCTACCGAAAARCATAAAAAAATTATTTAACTATAAGTACAAGGCAGTTTTGCAGGGAAATCGTTATACAAATTGTGCAACTAGGCACACCAATGTTATAATATTAATTAATATAGTATATCGAAATATAACTTAGTTCAAATAGTGCCTTTAGTGTTCGGTACTGTTAATCTAAAAATTGTCATAATCGAACTACACATTTTCAAGCCGACGTACCGAATATGAAATATTGGTTAATTTCTGAGATATATTAACAAAATGAATTATTTTTGTGATAATAATCTTGTCTGGTTTTGAAAATGGATAAAATCCTCCAACTTCTTTTTCATAAGATAATTTTCGAACATCACGTTGACTCTATTCCATTTACTACGGTCAATGCATAAGATATGTAGCTCAACCATGAGAATTTATTAAAGAGATGAATGTGTATAATGGTAATTTAATGATTTTCATAATTTAATTATTTCAAAATAGATACATATGTATGTCGGTACTGTATTCTAGTAGTTTTAGCACGTTGCTGTGGATATGGTATCCTTTAAATACTATCATAATMAACTATTAAATGCAATGAAAACAATTTTAGTGAAAAGACTAAAATGTTATTGCCGGTATAAGAATTCAAGGAATTGCTCTTGAGGTTTAATTTAGAAAATGATAATTCAAATATTTGTCAAAAATAATTAATTTTTTTTGAGATTAGATCCGCTCAAAAAGTAGCACATTGTCATCAGAGACCATTAAACTTTTAAATTATACGACGGGTTTAAGTGCAGAGTCGATATCACACATCTCATACTTCAGCTCAAATGCAAATAACGATTCTGCATCTGGTAGTGATTATGAATAAGCTATTTTAATAATATATAAGTTCTTATTTGTTAAATATTACCAGATACATTGTAATAATGGTCACTTGTAACTTACATATTATTTTGTAAAATAAGAGTATTTACATGAACCACATGCTTTTTTCTCCACTTCCTTTTATCACTTGCTCATGCAAACTCTAATTAAATAACTCCATTTACATCGAAGCAAGATATAAAGAAATTCCATATGTTACGTTTTGTTCTCTTCAAATAATCTTACGAAAAAATCACGTACATGATGTTTGGCTCCATTGGAACACGTAAAATTTTAAGAGTACACGTCCGCCTGTTTATATCTACAATTTTAAATTTYGAACAAATAATGTCGTATTTGAAATTAGTAACCAAAATACTACTATACACGAAGTTTCGGTGAGATCGGAAGAATTTTCGAGTTTTGGCCAGCTTTTTTTGGAAAATCATCCACAGTGCGCTGTGCCAAGGATACCTTCATTGGCCACTCAGGCGTTAAAGTCGTCAAGCAGGATATTTACATCGTGGCAGAACAAGTGTTGCAATTGCGCTCTTAGCTCTCATTGAATGCATCTTTGGTCACATCGTGCTTCTCTTCCGTCRGGGCGTGGGCGCAAATCAGCGGTATGTTGACAAATTCGGTTTGATGCGGATTGTGGTTAGACGTTCACCCACTGGGGTAAATGGCAAGACTTGTCGACGGAGTCTCTCTCCCAAAACGAATTCCATACCGAATTTGTGCTCTTTTATATGGCCACTGATGTAAATGTCACAAGGAATTGCTCGTCTCAGTTTTTGTCCCTTCCATCGTATTTCTTGGACGACGGTGATGTCAGCCTTTACTCTTACGAGAATACACCTTCCCAATTTAGAGATCGAACATTCTAAGTGCATGTGGGAACGTGGCGGGTCCGAAACCCAGCGCTCAATGTTCGCCTTCTCACTTTAGCTCACCATCAAACGGATGTTTTTTGACTACCCAGGGGATACTTGATCTAAGACCGAAAGTTGTGAGCTATTTGAGTCATATGCAAAGAATCGTTTCTTGCCACTCATATGTATATTTCGCTCAAAGAACTTTCCTCACTCAATTTATGAGCCTGAGCACTTAAATAACGATATTCGCCAAAATAATGAGATTGTCCAATGCTATCGATGTGAGGAATTTGGACATGTCAAGCTTGTTGCAAACAATCATTTAAAAGCGTAAACTGTAATTTAATGCATCCAAATTACAAAGTAGAGAACAGACAAAACTTCACAGACTTAGGTAACCCATCACACCTACTATAAACTAAATTATATATTTAAAAATAAATTGAGATGAATCGACAAAAAACGATGAAAAAAATTTAACAGCTACTAGCAAAACAAATGGAATTGAAACGCACACTACCTTGAATTATTAATAAGCTATGCAAAGGAATTTAAGATTAGCAATGGGGTGTCAAAGGCTTATCCCGCCACATCCAAAAAATTTAAATATTCTGAAATCAAAATTATATTGACGTAATTTTAGCGCCAGAAAAACGCTTCACAAATAGAATATATTTACAAATGAAAGATTATGATATAGTCGACTCTAATCATACAAGCAACAGGGTTCATGCCGGCTGTGCTGTCTTAAGAAAATGTTGTATCAAATATGATTATGCCCATGAACCATTCCAATAGCCATTAATGCAAGCCAAGAATTAAAACAAAAATAAATAATAATAACACTGTGATAGTAAAAAAAGACAAGAATAAATCGACGGTTTCCCCCCATTTCGGATACTACGAACCGAACTGCATCATTACTTTTTTGAGTTACAATCATGGTTTCATATAAAATTTTTTGTTGAGTTTTTCATCAAAGTGGCCCATTGTAAGAGAAAGGCACATTTTTCKTCGGTCTCTAACTTTTTTAATTTTGACTTTTTTGGTAAACTTTCTTTGGCAAAGCCTCTCAGAATAAGTCCGTATTTAAGTTCTTAGTTGACTGTAAACCCCAAAATCAATGTTTTTTGTGTCCTTATAGCCAATATTTCGAAAAAAACTGAAATTTAATCAATTTTTTAAATGTTTTTTTCCCTCACGTTTCGTCAATATTTTAATTTACCCTTTGATACTTATACATTAAGTGACATCTTGTAATAGTAAGAAACTTAAGCAAAGACAACGTTCTGAGCAAACTAACCATTAGAAAAAAAACTTAACAAAATTTTTATATTTTAAAAATGCTACACTAACTATCAATAAGTATCATAAATTTGTACACAATATTTTAATTAAATTTAATAAGACTCGCCTATCAATGTCCAACACAAATCAGCAAGCAACGATCTTGCTCCATGCTCATCGGATTCAGTCGGAACTTGCTGCTCAAAATGGTCCTTGTGATGGTGAAGGAAATGAACTTTTAAGGACATATTCACACCTATTTCTTCAAAAGCGTCTTGACAACACATGAAAACAATGTATCAACATAACATTCGTTCTATTAAAAGACTTAAAATACCTTCTTGTATTTTCGCAACACTTAGTCTTGGAAATATTTCTATCAAACATTTAAAAGCTTCGGCATCTCGATTTATTGCTTTTATGAAATTTTTGACAATTCCCAATTTTATGTGCAGTGGTGGTAGCGAAATGTTATTAGCTGGTATCAGTAAGCAAGGTGATAGCTTTTAAATCCGCACATATCTTCCATTGATGCTGCTGGTACTGAACTCTGTCCAACATTAATTTCATTGCTTCGTATGTTTCCTTTGTGTTAGAGCTTATGGCGATTGGAACCGGATGTTTTGTGTTATCGACATACAGCAATACTGCTTTTAAACTATTTTTCGACGAGTCAATAAACAAGCGCCATTGCTCTGGTTTGTACTCACAGTTCATGTATTGCATAAGACCAGGAATATTTTTACAATACGAAAAAGTATTGTCGCCATTAACCTCAAAGAAATCTAAAAGCTTCTCCAGTCTTTTGCCGTATCCACACACCTTCACATCTTTAGACAATACATTTATCGATCGAAGATGATGTGCTAGGCAAATCGCTTGTCTTTGCGATAATTTCAGCTGTCGTACCATCGTATTCAAACGGGCTTGGGAAATCTCCAAGTGACGACATGGGCTTTCAACTTCGGTTGGGTTATACATTGAGAGTAGATCTGTAGGCTCGGTAGAAAATGTTGGCGAAATATATCTGTCAGTTGGACTTGGACATCTTGGTATCGGAACATTTTCTGAGTGAGATACTGGTAGCTGTGCAGATTGAACACTTTTGTAAACTGTGTTTTTTT